AAAAAAAAAGAAAAAAAATGAAATGCAAATGAATAGTTTTTTGTATAGTTAATATTCATTAATCTATTCATTTAGTAAACATAGAGTAGTACCTACTCTATAACAAAAGATGTCTACAGACACCAGTAAATCAGAAAAAAAAAAGTTACAGACAAACTTGGAAGTTATTTCTAAGAAGATAATAATCAACAATTTTATTAATTACATAAAATCATTGAATCAGGGCCGGCGCCGCGGCTCACTAGGCTAATCCTCTGCCTAGCGGCGCCGGCACACCGGGTTCTAGTCCCGGTTGGGGCGCCGGATTCTGTCCCGGTTGCCCCTCTTCCAGGCCAGCTCTCTGCTGTGGCCAGGGAGTGCAGTGGAGGATGGCCCAGGTGCTTGGGCCCTGCACCCCATGGGAGACCAGGAAAAGCACCTGGCTCCTGGCTCCTGCCATCGGATCAGCGCGGTGTGCCGGCCGCAGCGCGCTGTCCGCGGCGGCCATTGGAGGGTGAACCAACGGCAAAGGAAGACCTTTCTCTCTGTCTCTCTCTCTCTCACTGTCCACTCTGCCTGTCAAAAAAAAAAAAAAAAAAAAAATCATTGAATCAGCATTGATGAGTTTATTTAGCTTGACTCTGACAAAACATGCAGCGGAACTATCATAGCAAGTATCTACTTTTAAATCTTTTCCTAGAATGCTCACCTACAAACTTTTAAAATGTTTTCCCCACTGTACTCATTAAAAAAAGAACTTGATTATAGTTGCTCCAGGAAGTACTTATTTGTTAACAATTAATAGAAAATGGTACTGAATATTGAAGTAAATTACTTTTAATCATTTATTTTATTAAAAATTAAAAAAATTTACCTTTGCTGTTCTGTATTCAGTAATTCTTTCAAGTTACAGATAGTAGTTTTAAGTTCAGTAACAACAAATGAGTGGGCAGTTTTAGTGTTATTAAATTCTTCCATTTGGGCTTCTTTTTCTCCAGTGAGTTGATATATTGTTTTTGTTGCTACCTGTAAATCTTCCTCTAAGGCTTTCTGAGCACTCTAAATGAAATACAAAAGAAAAGCAATGATCTAAAGGCCTTAAGAAAAAATAGTTAATACTTTTCTATAAATATGCTGCCCCTCTTCCATTACACATCTACCCATCATCCACCCTCCTCTCTCTAGAATGTCCACGTACCATTCTTCTTTCTATTCATCATTCTCTAAATTCCACCTACAGTTCTAACTCCTCCATAAAGTCTTCATAGTCAAACCAGCCCATAATGTTCTTTCAATTCTTAAAAATATAACAATTTATTGCCTGAATCACTCTGTTGCTACCTAGTATTTGCTCATATTTTATATATACTTTTGATGTTCTTATCCAATGTCACTAATTAAACTATAAGCATTTTGTAGACAGAAATTGTGTCTTCTCTTCTTGAAGTCCTGGGTCCTTATTTATATAATTAGTATATAACACATATTTGTGGATTGATTTATAGTGTGAGGCTTATTATACACCGATTAGTGTTTTTTTAAGATTTTATTTATTTATTTGACAGATAGAGGTACAGACATTGAGAGAGAGAGGCAGAGAGAAAGGTCTTCTTTCCATTGGTTCACTCCCCAAATGGCCACAACAGCCAGAGCTACACCGATCCGAAGCCAGGAATCAGGTGGTTCCTCCTGGTCTCCCATGCAGGTGCAGGGGCTCAAGGACTTGGGCCATCCTCCACCGCTTTCCCAGGCCACAGCAGAGAGCTGGACTGGAAGAGGAGCAACCAGGACTAGAACCAGCACCCATATGGGATGCCAGCACCACAGGCAGAGAATCAACCTAGTGCACCACGGTGCCAGCTCAAACAATTAGCTTTTAAATCATACCATACTGGGGCTGGCACCGTGGCATAGCAGGTAAAGCTGCCACCTGCAGTGCCAGCATCCCATATGGGTGCCAGTTCCAGTCCTGGCTGCTCCACCTCCAATCCAGCTCTCTGCTGTAGCCTGGGAAAGCAACAGAAGATGCCCCAAGTCCTTGGGTCCCTGCATCCGCATGGGAAGACCCAGAGGAAACTCCTGGCTCCTGGCTACGGATCGGCACAGCTCCAGCCAATGTGGTCAATTGGGGAGTGAACCAGCAGATGGAAGACCTCTCTCTCTCTCTCTCTTTCTTCTTCTTCTTCTTCTTCTTCTTTCTCTGTGTAACTCTTATTTTCAAATAAAGTAAATAAATCTTTAAAAAATAAATAAATAAATCATACCATACTTCTTTGCAAAGACATTTTAATGTCTTCTAGTTCTGATGTCAAATGATCCTGCTTCTCATTTAATTCTTTTAAGTTTTCATTCTGTAATCCTAAAAAAGAAAGTTATATAGGTAAGTAGTATTTAACAAAAAAACATACCAAGAAAATTAGTTGTTATTTGTAACAATGACTATTTTTCTCTATTAAATAACAGTCCAAATGGAGGGAAATGATGCTAATATAAATATGCTAATATTGGTCAGCATGATTTTTTTTAAGATTTATTTTATTTTATTTGAAAGACAGAGCTACAGAGAGGTAGCTTCCATCTGCTGATTCACTCCCCCGATGACTGCAATGGCCAAAGCCAGGAGCCAGGAGCTTCTTCAGGGTCTCCCACACGGGTGTGAGGGACCAAGGAATTAAGCCACCTTCTACTGCTATCCCAGGCCACAGCAGAGAGCTGGATCGGAAGAGGAGCAGCCAGGACTAGAACTGGCACCCATATGGGATGGCAGCACTGCAGGCCAGGGCATTAACCTGCTGCGCCACAGCGCCGGCCCTGTTAAGCATGATCTTAAAATGATTCTTTAAGACTATTATCTCCCGTGGCTCCTGGCTCCTGGCTTCAGATCTACCCAGCTCCAGTTGTTGCAGCCATTTGGGGAGTGAACCAGTGGATGGAAGACCGACCTTTCTCTCTCTCTCTCTCTCTCTCTCTCTCTGCTCCTGCCTCTCTGTAACTCTGCCTTTCAAATAAATAAATCTTTTTTTAAAAAAAAGCAACTAATAGGTAAAAGAGATATTGAAGTAAACAGATAACAGATGTTAAATATCAATCATTAATATATTCAAAACAAGATGAAAAATATGATTTTTAAAATAAAAGATTTTGGAATGGGCATTTGACCTGGTGGTTAAGACACCAGTTCCTGCATCCCACATCAGAGTACTTGGGATTGATTCCCAGCTGCTGACTCCAACTTCCTGCTAATGTGGACCCTGGGAAGTAATAGCAATGGGCTCGAGTAACTGTGTTCCTACTACCCACATGGGAGATTTCAATTGAGTTTTTGGTTTCCCCAGCCATTGTGGACATTTAGAGAACTAGCAAAAGAGGTTTTCTCTTTCTCTCTCTCTCTCTCGCATTCTCTCCCGCTCTCTCTGCTTAACTCAATTTTTAAAAATTTAAGTAAAAATGCCAAGTTTCAAGTTTATTTCATAAATAAATAAATGAAAGAGAATTTAACCAAGGAAATGGATCTTAAAACATCAAGTCAAATGGGGCTAGCATTGTAGCATACTGGGTAAAGCCGCCACCAGCAACGTCAGCATTCCATATGGGCACCAGTGTGAGACCTAGCTCCTCCACTTCCAGTCAAGCTCCCTGCTAATGCATCTGGGAAAGCATGAGAAGATGGCCCAAGTGTTTGGGCCCCTGCACCAACAAGGAAAACCCAGGAGAAGTTCTTGGCTCCTGGCTTTGGCCTGGCACAGCCCACCTGTTGCGGCCATTCGGGGAGTGAACCTCTCTCTCTATAACTCTGCCATTCAAATAAACAAAATAAATCTTTTTTAAAATTACAAGTGGAAATTTTAGAAGAGAAAAATATATGATTAATCCAAAATTAAGAATTCAGTAGATGGATTTAAAGCAAAATAGACAGTCGAGGCAGGATTAAGTTACAGATCAACAGAAAGTATCCAAATAAAATAAAGAAAAACCAAAAGAAAAAATGGAAGGTACATTGTATGGAAACAATGAAAAGTAATCTAAATGAACAGATTTCAGTGGCTATGAGTCTACAAAATCATATAGAATTATAGTCCTTTATAACCAATACAGTGTTTCCAGCTTATAATTTAAGGTTAAGTATCCATTCATCCAAATGACTCTTATTATATGCAAAGCAAAATGCTAGGTCACTAGAATTACAAAAAGATAGTTAATGAGACATCATCCATCCCTTCAAGACACTCACAGTCACAGAAGACAAAAGGGTAATGCCTAAACCATTATTAAGAATCAGAAAGACTTCACTAGGATTTAGCCAACAGATTTGGAGTTGAGATTTGAGACTTATTTTGGATAGAAGTCATGGGGTAAGAAAGGAAGAACATAAAATGAAGAGAAACAAACAATTTCAATATATTTGGAATATAGCCTATGATAATGACAATAAGGTAAAATTAGCTAGCACACGTTAGCAAGAAATAGATAATTATTTGCCATTTGAAGAACAGAGAGTGTTTTAAAGAATAGGAAAACAAATACCACAAGATTCCTATGATGTTATGGAAGATGTATGATATTTCACAAAGTACACTATGACTTTCAAGTATCCTGCCACTTGAACAAGTTTGCAAAATAATAACATAGTCTAAACATGACATGACATTTAAGGTCCTGCATAAATGAATCTAAACATTCTTTATAGTTGTCGCTCCCCCTCTTCGTGGAGGAACGACACAGGACCCTGCGCTGTTCTTTTGTCTGCTCGGCCCTCCCCAGGTTTGCTGCTGGTTCTTCCCGGGTTGGCTACCGACCCTTCCACCTCCGTGGAAGGGCGGTTCCCCCGCCACATTCCCCACTTCCACGGGGGAGCGGCACACCGCCGGCCGGCTCTCTCGGGGGCTGCACAGGTGTTCCTCTTAGATGTTCCCCTTAGATGTTCCTGGTGCATGTTGTCTCTCTCCTCCTTTATAGTCCTCTTCCGCCAATCCCAACTCGGCTGCCCACACGCCGAGTACGCTGCTCTCCTCCAATCAGGAGCAGGTCCTACAGTTTATTGGTTGAACTGGAGGCAGCTGCGTAGAAGCTGTTTTCTCCTCTCCCAGCGCCATATTGTGGGAGAGCAGATGCATAGAATAAGTCTTAATTCCAGTAACTTAGTCTAGTCCGAGTTGCTCCCCACAATAGTCTCATCTATCTGCTTGAGTTATCAAAAATATGGGGTCACACCAGTCAGTTTATCAATTAAAATTATACCTTGTCACATTTCCTTGTCTTGCACAAGACATTTCTTCTGTCTATACTGTCTCCTCTAACTCACTGTCTAGTGGATTTTTTAAATTTATTTATTTATTTAAAGGCAGAATTACAGAGACAGACGAAAAGACAAAATGAGACATTTTGGTTCATTCCCCAAATGGCCACAACAGCCAGGGTTGGGGCAGGCTGAACCTAGAAACCAGAAACTTCATCCAGGTCTCCATGTAGGGCAGGTAACCAAGCAATTTGGCCATCTGCTTCTCTCCCAGGTGCATTAGCATGGAGCCATATCAGAAGTAAAGCAGCAGAGACTTGAACTACGGGGTGCTGGACATTGCAGGTGTCAGCTTAACCCACTGCACCACAAAACTTGTCCATCTAGTAAACTCTGAACCACCAACAGTTTTTCCTAAATGTACTTTGTGAAATATCATACATCTTCCATAGCATCATAGGAATCTTGTGGCATTTGTTTTCCTATTCTTTAAAACACTCTCTCTTCTTCAAATGGCAAATAATTATCTTGCTCCAGGAAGAATCAGTTAACTCCTCCCTTGGAATACTCAGTGTTCATATGCACCAGGCAATATTCCAGCCTCATAGAATACCTCAGGAAAGATAAAAGACTTAAATATCTATCTTTATAGAGTGTGATGTTCAAAATTTACTTTGAAGAAAGTAGGAGTATGGAAAAGGAGAAAAAAAGGAGTACAGGTACTTGGAAAAAGCTCCTTAAGTGATTCTATTATGCCCTCCTCCAATTGACCCAACTCAAACTGAGAATTTACAGCATTAGAAAGCATTATAATACATTTTAAATAAAAGCTAAAATTTAGGTTTCAGCAATAGGAATACATAAAACACATTGTCATATTTTCTTATATAAATTCTTACTTGTCTTTTCCTCTAATTGATTAATGTTATCTCTGGATTCCTCTAGCAGAAATGTTAAATCTTTAATTTTATTGTCTTTTTCAGTGATCTGGACCAAAAGTAGTGACATCTAAAATGAAATATTTAAATAAAACATATAGATTAAAAGGTAAATGTGGCACCATAGCATTTATCATCACCTAGAATTATTTTACATACTTGCTTACATACTTCTCACTTGGCTGTATTTGACATTCAATGTATGCTTGAATAATAAATATTTATTGAATACCTAATTGAATGAACTATTATGATATAACCAATACCATACTATGTATTTCAAGTTATTACTGAAATTACATAATGGAGTGTACTGACTCATTCAACAAATAGTGAGCACTAAAAATTTTAAGCTGTTGCTTACGATGCCAGCATCTTATATTGGAGTGCCAGGTCAAGTGCCAGGGGCTCCACCTTCTGATCCACCTTTCTGCTAATGCACCTGGGAAGGCAGCACCCCAAGTACTCAAATCCCTGCCACCCATGTAGGAAACAAGGATGAAGTTCCTGGTTCCTGGCTTCAGCCTGGCCTATCCCTGGCTATTGTAGCAACTGAGGAGTGAATTAGTAGATGAAAGATAATCCCTCTTCTCTTCTCTTTTTTTTTTTTCTCTCTTTCTCTCTCTCTCTCCTGTTTACCCTCCCCACATTTGACACTCTGCCTTTCGAGTAAATAAATAAACCTTTTTTGAAAAAAATCATCGCTAAGCATGAATACCCAAGTACAGAAAGAGGTGAGGATAAAGCATATAATGGAAGAGCCAGCATATAGAATGATGATACTCAGCCTGTGCTTCCTACCCTGACCAACCCAGTTCCAATATGCCATCAGCCAAGGATTTGGAGAGCCTCAGAAAAAAAAGTCTAACAAATAATGAAACTTGGGAGTCCCAAACAAAAACTGGTCAGCAGCTGGCCATGACACCATTTTACAAGCAAGACCAACAAGGCCCATGTACCCAAAACTCCAGCAAGCATTTTTTTAGCATTTCACTCTATTTTTGTGTTCTTTATAATAAGCATAATTTTAACTTGTAAAAACAGTTCCTTCTTTCAGAGACATAGCTTAACAACAAAGTTAAAATTTAAAAACTTGTAACTCTTTCAAAATATCTAAGCATAACACTTAGGTTGAAATTTCATCAATTAATCACAACCTAAAACTCTAAATATCCTCTCTGTACTTTAAATTTCTTGACTATTGTTTAAGTAGATATCCTTGTGACCTGCGATTATAGGATATCTTGAAGCAAATTAGAAAAAAAAACTGCAAAAATAGTGGGAAATAGAACAGAACTCTTTTTATCACTTTTCATTTGGAAGCACAGGCTTGAATTGGCATAATAATCTGAAATCAACATTCTTGAAAAGTCAACGAATAAACACTTGCCATTTTCAAGTCTCCCACTATGTGATATTAATAGAAAGAAGCAAATGAATGGTTTCATTTTCATTCATTGGTATTATGGAATAGTGTATTTCAAAATAGATTGTAAAATTTGAGTTGAGTGCTCAGCAATCATCTCTACATTTTATGAGGTTTGTCTAAACAAAATTTCTCACAAAATAATATCTTTTTTCACAATGTACTATTATCCACTGATGTAAGTATTATACATAACTCATTAATTGAAAAACCAAAAAAGGCTAGTATTCAGTGAGTGTATATCTGAGTCAATAAAAATTCACTTAGCTAAGCAAAAGGCAAATACTTAAGATGTATAATATTAAAATTCACTGAGAGAAGTTTACCATCTAGTCAGAAAATGTAAATTTTTTTCAAAATTTTAAGTATTTTATGAATTAGCAAATACAAAGAACATAGAGTTGATTTTAAAAAACCTGCTTTTCCTTGTCATTTACTTCCTTCTTATATTCTTCTTCAAGGCGTTGGGTTTTTTCATAGTCTTCCTTTACTGTAAAAATAAAATAAATATACCACAATGTCTTAACATAATTGTTTAACTTTTCTGTTACAAATAAAATTTCAAGTTTATTTCATTTCTTTATATATCTCAAAATTATATTAAACTTCAAAATTTTGTAATGAGCTAAAATTGCTGTTTTATTGTTGCTAACTTTCCCTTTAGTACTAGGGAATTTAAATAATATCAAAGTTATAATAACTTAAAATTCTTCAAGTCTTAAATTGTATACATGTAAAAGTTTGTTCCTTGTTAATATACAAATCTGGAATAATATATCTTACATATATATTTATTTTAACATGCACACATTACCAATAAATATAAAAATAAAATAAAACCACACTTCTAAAAAGTTAAATATGAACTATAGTAAGATTTCATGGAAAGAGGTTTGAAATTAAAAAATAATTTTAAGGCTGGCACCGTGGCTCACTAAACTAATCCTCCGCCTGCAGCGCTGGTACTCCGGGTTCTAGTCCCGGTTGGGGCGCCAGATTCTGTCCCAGTTGCTCCTCTTCCAGTCCAGCTCTCTGCTGTGGCCCGGGAAGGTAGTGGAGGATGGCCCAAGTGCTTGGGCCCTGCACCCGCATGGGAAACCAGGAGGAAGCACCTGGCTCCCAGCTTCAGATCGGTGCAACGTGCCGGCCACAGCAGCCATTGCGGGGTGAACCAATGGAAGGAAGACCTTTCTCTCTGTCTCTCTCTCTCACTAACTCTGCCTGTCAAAAATAAATAAATAAATAAATAAATAAATAAATAAATAAATAATTTTAAGATATATCAATTCCCTACCACACCCCACAAGATATTGAGGGACTTAAAAAAAAAAAACAGAAAAGCACAAAATGTAAAAACAGTTGAAGATTTCAAGCTAAAAGGAGGAAATCATTAATATGAGCTAGTAAAAATAGAAATGAAAGAACAGTAATATAAAATGGAATTCCTACACTTAAAATGCATTTCCAGTCTGGAATTCTCAGCTTGCACACGAAGTTCCTCAAAAGCTATTATCATTTTCTGAAATACAAAGTTAAGATTTTAAACAGTTTTCTTCAAACTATGAAAATATTAATAAATTTGTAACATGCAATCATTACATAGAAAACACACAATTTTAAATAATGAAAAACCTATAACTTTGAATAATTAATGTATTTAAAATCTACTGAGTATCTATTATGTTAGTTTTCCAGATGCTTAAAGTAACTACAGCTATTTTACATAATATAAACGGCAGCAAAATGATTTTTGGACACCCTAGTCATTTACTTAACAGGACATACAAAAATCTGTAATTCTTTTTTTTTTTACAGGCAGAGTGGACAGTGAGAGAGAGACAGAGAGAAAGGTCTTCCTTTGCCATTGGTTCATGCCCCAGTGGCCGCTGCGGCCGGCACACCACGCTGATCCGAAGCCAGGAGCCAGGTGCTTCTCCCGGTCTCCCATGCGGGTGCAGGGCCCAAGCACTTGGAGCATCCTCCACTGCACTCCCAGGCCACAGCAGAGAGCTGGACAGGAAGAGGAGCGACCGGGACAGCATCTGGTGCCCCGACCGGGACTAGAACCCGTGTGCCAGCACCGCAGGCGGAGGATTAGCCTATTGAGCTGCGGTGCCGGCCAAAAATCTGTAATTCTATACTTATTTGTGTTTACTTATTTTACTTCTGTCTTCCCCCACTAAAGTAAAACCTTTCCCCGATAACAGTCCAAAATTATACATCCATAATCTGGCAGCATGTATTCATTCAATACTCAACAAATCTGGCTTTGCAAAATCAGATGAATTTTTCATTCATTCATTATAAACAGTTGTCTATTATATGCTAGGGACTGTTTTAGACATTTGTAATTTAATACACAGTCAATACACTACTGGAACTTATTATAGAGTACACATGTACAGAGAGAGAGAGAGAGACATATATATATTAAATAAATGCCATGCCAGGTGTTTTCGGGTTTTAAGGTTTTTTTGTTTGTTTGCTTGTCTGTTTTTATTTGAAAGGCAGAGAGATAGATCTTGCATCTGCTAGTTCACTCCCCAAATGCCCACAACAATCTGTCTGGGAAGGCCAAAGCCAAGAGCCAAAAGTCCATCTGGGTCTCTGGGTCTTCCACTTGAGTGACAGGGATCCACGTATTGGAGCCACCACCTGCTGCCTCCCCAGATGTACAGTAGCAAAAACTGGACTGGAAACAGAGGCAGAACTCTATCCCAGGCACTATAATATGGAAGGCAGGTATTGGCTTTATCTACTACATCACAATGCCAACCTGTCATGTGGTCTTAAATGCTCTTCATAAAAATTAAATGAAGCAGAAAGATAAAGAATAATAAAAAGACATTTTACATAAAGTAGTAAGGGTAGATAACAAAAACAGAGTGAAGTTTATAAGTATATAAGATCTTAAGATACAAAAGTTTTGGAAAGAGAATACAAATTCAGAGAACCAAGATCAAAAGGAGTAAATTTAAGAAATATAAAAGAAAAGATTGACTAAAATAGAAAAGCAAAGTGATGAGTAATAGGAAATCAGATAAGGAAAGGCAGAAACCAGACACAGATTTAATAATACTTTGTTTTCAAACTGATGGTTATACATCACACTGTGCTAGTCTCTAAGTTAATAAATAACCGATAAATTAAGCTAAATAGTGTGACTAATGTATAACTCAAAAAGTTAGTACAGGAATGGGCATTTGAAGCAGCAGTTAAGATGCTGCTTGAGACACTCATATTCCATAATGGGAGCCACTGGTTCAAGTCCCAGCTCCTGCACTTTTGATCTAGCTTCCTGCAGATGCACACCTGGGAGGCAGCAGGTTCTTGCCAAGGAACCCAACTGAAATCCAGATTGAGCTCCAGACTCCTGTCTTCGGCCTGGCCCACCCGATTGCTGCAGGCATTTGAAGAGTAAACCAGTAGATAGAAGATCTCTCTCTCTCTCTCTCTCTCTCTCTCTCTCTCTCATTCACTCTCTCCCACTAATAAAATGAAAATTTTAAAAAATCCACTACATTAAAGAATGATTAATATGGGACAAGCCTAGCAGTTAGGATGCCAATTGGAAAACCTACATTCCATATAAAAGTGCCTGGGTTCTGGTCAGCTCTGCTCCTGACTCCAGGTTCCTGCTAATGGAAACCATGGAAGGCAATACAGTGATGGCTCAAGTAATTGGGATTCTACACTCATTTGGGAGTGCTGAATTGAGTTCCCAGGAGCCTGGCAGTTGTTGAAAGAATTTGGAGAGTAAAATAGCCAGTGGGAGATCTCAATCTCTCTCTTCCAAATACATAAAAACACCAATATTCACAGTGTAGGACCCTAGGAATTTTATTGTCAGTTCACACATATATAACAAATAGCTAGTAATCCTTTTAGAAGGAACAGTTGTCTGTATCCTTGCAGCAATCATTGTACTTTGCTTAGAAATTCCTTGTTCAACATATTCAAATTTTCACTCTTACCTCAATGTTATTGTTTAGATCCATATAAACTTGTCTTGTTTCCTCCCGTTCATATTCATCTATAACAAAAAAATTCAAAATTAAATTTTAAAACATTTATGATACCAATAAGATAACTCAAAATATCTTTAAATTTTTGAAATTCTGCATTAATGAGGACATTGGGATATCTAATTTAGTAATGTTTTAAATAGTGGGCTAACAATGTGGTGTAGTGGATTAAGCCACTGCCTGCAATGCAAGTATCACATATGGGTACCAGTTCAAGCCCTGGATGTTCCACTTCTTCTTTCTCTTCTTTCTTTACTTTTTTTTTTTATTATTATTAAAGGAAATCCTGGGGCCAATGCTGTGACGCAGTAGGTTAAGCCGCCTGCAGTCTCAGCATCCCATATGGGCACTAGTTCAAGTTCCAGCTGCTCCTCTTCCGATCCAGCTCTCTGCTATGGCCTGGGAAAACAGTAGAAAATGGCCCAGGTGCTTGGGCCCCTGCACCCGCGTAGGGGACCTGGAAGAAGCTCTTTACTCCTGGCTTCGGTTCAGCACAGCTCCAGCCATTGAGGCCAATAGGGAGTGAATCAGTGGATGGAAGGCCTTTCTCTTTGTCTCTCCCTCTCACTGTCTGTAATTCTGCCCCTCAAATAAATAAATAAAATCTTTTTTAAAAATCCTTTTCTTTTTCTTTTTTTTTAAGATTTATTTATTTATTTGAAAGGGAAAGCTACAGAGAGGCAGAGGCAGTGATATAGAGAGGTCTTCCAAGCATTGGTTCACTCCCCAAATGGCCACAATGGCCAGAGCGAGGCTGAACCGAAGCCAGGAGCCTGGAGCTTCTTCCAGTCTCCCACATTGGCTAAGGGGCCCAAGGACTTGGGCCATCTTCTACTGTTTTCCCAGGTGCATTAGCAGAGAGCTGGATTGGAAGTAGAGCAGCCAGGACTTGAAGCAGCACCCATATGGGATGCTGGTACTACCCACAGCAGCTTTACGCACTGCATCACGGTGCCAGTCCCATGTTCCAGCTCTGACCAGCTCCCTGCTGGTGTGCCTGGGAAAGCAGTGGAAGATGGCTCAAGTGCTTGAGCCCCTACCACCCACATGGGAGACCCAGATGAAACTCCAGACTCCTGGCCACTTTGGAGAACGAACCAGCAGATGGAAGATTCTCTCTCTCTCATTCTAATTCTCTGCAACTCTACCTTTCAAATAAATAAATACATATTTTTTAAAAATAGTAGCAAAAGCAGTTTGGGTCTAGTATGATGTGAAAAAAAGCCTGGAAGTCACTATTTCATGCTACCAACAAGTTGAACAAAATGAAAAATCAGTAACTTTTCTTACAAGATAAGTTAGATCTGAAGACCAACTGTTGCCCCTAAAATTAGAAAGACAAGCAGGCAAATACAAAAATTCAAAGAGAATCACAATTTACTAGGGCAGAAACCCTCAAACAAGAAACTCTGTGGAAACCAGAGCCAGGGTAAGCCTGAACTGTAACTAGTGGATTGCTAGAAACTCAGTGTGAACAAATCTGAGAGATTAAAAATTCCAGATGTCTTGCTGTGTGATGGCTTCTGCCATGATGTACCTAGAAGGCCTTCATCAGATGCTGAGCAGATGCCAGCACCTTGCTCTTGGAATTCCAGAACTATAGCTGCTGAAGCTCCCAAAAGCATATCTACTTTGTAGGGGGAAGAAAAAAATAGAAGACATCCATTTACATTTCACTAACCAAGAAAGACACATGACTACCCTTGGCTGTAACTGACATGGACAGGTCATTGCCATCAATAAAATCTGAGTTCTGTACTGCCATATTACTGTGTCACCTCATAGAAAACCATACCAATTCCAATTCATACTCAAAGAATCACCAATATATAGAGAAGAATCTTACATCTACCACCAGCTCTGGCACAAATCTACATATTTCTTCCAGATTTGCAGTGATACAAAGGTCTAACAACAGCTTTAAAAAAATAATCTGAATGGGCCAGTGCCATGGCTCAATAGGCTAATCATCTGCCTGCGGCGCCAGCACACCGGGTTCTAGTCCAGCTCTTCCTGTCCAGCTCTCTGCCGTGGCCCGGGAAGGCAGTGGAGGGTGGCCCAGGTCCATCCTGCACCCGCATGGGAGACCAGGAGAAACACCCGGCTCCTGGCTTCGGATCAGCGTGGTGTGCCGGCTGCAGCGCGCCGGCTGCAGCGGCCATTGGGGGGTGAACCAATGGAAAAAGGAAGACCTTTCTGTCTCTCTCTCTCACTGTCCACTCTGCCTGTCAAAAAAATAAATAAATAAACCATCTGAGTGAACAATACAAATTCTCTATCACCATTTGGAGGACACTGCCTCTTCTCTAACAAACCGGTTTATTGATGAGATCAACAGTGTACCTGCAAAGAAGCTGACCCTCTATGTTTGTGCTATGCAAATAGTTTGTTTTGCTGCCCTAGATGAGATGTTTCCTCAAATTAAAAGTATTGCTTACTGCTATCATAAGTCATCTCTTATTTTGGGAGGCCTAATTAAGATTCTAAAGGACCTTGAAGATAATGAAAATGTACATAAATATAAATGAACTACTGGGAAAAAACTGTCAGCACTCTGCTACCACAGCAGCAGGATTGTCCTATGGACCAGTTGTGGGTATGTAAGGTGACACCTACGATTATATCTTGGATTCTTTACCCTACCCATAGGAAACTATAGTTTCTTAATTGGTGACTACCAAAGAACAAGCATTGATTTCAAAAATAAAAAACAAACAAAAATCTACATATTTGAAGAAAATATGCCTTATCAGAGAAGCCATACATTCCCTTTTGCTTTGAAGAAACAGAAGCAAATCAGCTCCCAGTTTTAACTTAGTAAATAAACGTATCTTGGAGCTAGAATTACATAATTATTCTTAAAGATGATTAGAAATGAAACATAAGTGGCTTTTCGCCAGAGCGATACTTGAAATTCTATGCATTTGCAGAAGTATTAAAATATAAAATATAAAAATTCACTCTGATTTGGGTGGTTTGATACTTGGAGTAAGTTTGTCTAAATTTGAGTATGCATACTTAAAAAGCTCAGAAAGAAATAGCAAGAAATAGCAAAAACAATGGTTCTTGGAAGAAATTCCAAAATTTTCAATTTGATATTATATGGAAACATTATTTTTCCAAACATTCTTTTACATTATACTATGAAAACTATGTGATTACTAATTATATATGTTGTTAATGGCTGAAAGAGAAAAGTTCAAGGGCTCCAAACATGGAGTGACTCTGAAGAGATGGAATGTTGTCTTCCTTAATTTGATCAGTACATATATGTAATTAAACTAAGGTACCATCTTGTACCCCAGCAATGTGTATCATTATTGCATGTTAATAAAAATCTAAAAGAAAAATGTTTAAGGAAATGGAAATGTTAACTACACTGTCTAATCACTGTCCATTGTATACATGAACCATCACACTGTACCTCAGGAAAATGTACAAAAAAGAAAAAAATTGTGTATTTAATTTCACTATTTAAAATAAAAGCACAATGAATTTGTCTAAAACATTTTACTTAATTATATACATATATACTTTATAGAATTCACATATAATCTCTGAAGAACTTTTAAATGGTAGAAACATGTTCCTGTGAACCTTTGCATATTTTCTTTTACCTGTTCACCTACACCTGCTGAATTTTCTCAGTAATATCTTGAGTTGCTGGTTGCTTGCTTTTGGTTTCATCTTTCATTGTACATCAAAGTGTGCACTGATGTCTGTGACCTTGGTTTTACTAAGGGATAAGTTTTACTTGGACATTAGAAAAAAATTATCAAAAAATATCATGAATCAAGTCTTAGAGAATCTTAATAGGGACAAGACAAGTTAGTGATCTAATGGCTTGTTAATGATGCAGTGTTTTTACACGAAGTTAGTGAAAATGAGGTTTGTTTTCTCATAGGAAAATGGGCGACTATCTCTAGTCTAATGTGTATTCTTTCCCTGACAATTCACCAAATATCTAGTCATGAAAAATACAGGCAGTTGGTTTATTCCCTCACAAATGTTTATACATTATATATTATTTAGTTTCTTTTATTTACCTGCTTGAAGACTTGAATAAACCACTGGCCAGTTTAAAGAAAAAAAAAAGAAAAATGCAGGGAGACTCAATCTCCAGTCTTTAGGGAAGGGACACACACTCTTGTGATTATTACCAGGTACTCACAGGGAACACTGGAGTAACATACTCTCTGCTTCTGACAAGGAATGGGGAAAGGAACCATTATGAAATATACCAATGTATCCATTTCTTCTCATCAAGGCTTACCCTTTAGAGAAACTATTTAAACAGAGCAGTCAGCTGGGTTTTTATCACCACCTCCTTGACCTGGGGAAAGGGAAATTCCCAACTCCAGCCTGTCCCACCTTAGTCCCTGAACGATAATAACAAGTACTTGTGAAGTCACATTCAAGAAGCAAAAGATTACTAAAAGACTGAGATATAATGTCTACAGAATATTTCCACTCGTTCTACACCTTACCACTATACTGCTTAGTCTTTGGGCCCCTACATCCACGTGGAAGACCTGGAAGAAGCTCCTGGCTCCTGGCTTCAGCCTGGCCCAACCCTGACTGTTCTGGCCATTCGAGGAGTGAACCAGCAGATGAAAGATCTCTGTCTCTCTCTCTCCCTCTCTCTCTCTCTCTTGCTATAACTCTTTCAAATAATTTTTTTAATAAAAGGGAATTTTTATAGGGAATATCTAAGATCAGAATTGTTCCTGTTCATTCACTAATTCATTCCTTATTCTCTTCATAGACAGTATGCAAAGTGTTGAATAAACTGAATCAATTAAGACAAAAGCTCTTGGGGCCAGCACTGTGGTACAGTGGGTTAACGCCCTGGCCTAAAGCACCAGCATCCAATATGGGCGCCAGTTCAAGACCCGGTTGCTGCACTTCCAATCAAGCTCTCTGCTGTAGCCTGGGAAAGCAGTAGAAGATGGCCCAAGTACTTGGGCCCCTGCACCCATATGGGGGATCCAGAAAAGTTCCTGGCTCT